GAGAGACCGGTGGTGATCCTTGATTGGAAGATGAAAACCTTGAGGAACAAGGTTGTTGAGTTGTTGAAAGTCTGGTGGCAACATCACAAGGGTTCAGAATGGACGTGGGAGCCAAAGGATGACATGAGGGAGCATTATCCAGAGTTATTTGGAGCAGCAGATTTCGTGGACGAAGTATGATTCAAGTGGGGGAGAATTGTAACATTCAAGTTTTGGTAAGTTTCATTTTAGCCCCTAATGCAATTTTTTTTTTTCAAATTTGATCCCTTGGTTAGTATGTGGGGCGTACTCATTGGGTACCCTTAGCATACTAGCCATAATCTGGTCCCGAGACTTAACCATGTACACGGGGTGTACGTGGAGCATGCATGGCATACGTGAGTCTGAGCCAAACCCTAATTTTAGGGTTTGCACCCTATTTAAACCTCAATATAGCCTCATTTAGACATGTTTAACCAACCTCCATCTTCATTGTCCCATATAACAAAACCCTAAGTGTGTTAGTGAGTTTGTGAGCTTGATATAGATATTTAGTGTGTTCATGGGAATTTTGAAGTTAAAGAAGGAGATTGAAGATTCATTCCTTGGAGTGGAGCTTAGAGATATAGAGTTAGCATCATTATTTCAAGCCATTGGCGGTATAAAGTTCTTAGCTTGATAACTCCTTTCTGTATATCTAGTTTGGGTTAATTATGTCTTGTTTTGGTCCCTTTTGGTTGGTCCTTGTGAGAAAAGGTTATTCCAGAAGCTTAGACTTTAGATCTGGACGTTTTAAGGGTCCCTTATGCATAAAAATGTCTCCTTTGTGGGTTTTGTGCATCCGTGCAAAGTTGATGTACCATGCAAAGACTTAAAGCCTTCGACTTTATGAGTTAAGACCTTAGGATGAAGATATCTTTTGGATTGCATAGTGAGTTCTGAAGAGATTAATTCATTTGGCCAAGGAATTGGGACCATGCCAGTACGCGGGGCGTACTTTGGGTACGCTGAGTGTACGCTAGTCTGGGCCGAAGTATATTTTGGGTTTTGCATTTTTAGGCCATGTTTTAGACTATTAAATTTTGGGCCTTTGTATGGCCACTAGACTTTTGATTTGGGCTTGTGACTACTGTATTGGGCTTCCTTGGATTTTAGGCCCATGATGGGTTTGGGCCTAATTTGGAAGATTGGGCCATATAATAGGCTTTAGGATTTGGGCCTTTGAATAGTTGAGTTGGGCCTTGGTTTTGGGTCAAGTTGGATAAAAGGTAAATTGATCTTTTACCCTGGTTATGGGCCAAGTAGCTTAGACTTTTGGTTATGGGTCGGAGTCCAATTAATAATTGGATGTTATTGATTTTGTTAGCACGAGGATTTTCCAGGCCAGCAGTCAAATATTTATTCGGGTGATTCAGCAGCTTGAGGTGAGTTTCCTCACCGTGTTTAGCGGGTCGAAGGCACCAATACCGGCCTATGGTTTATTATGTTAGGATGCTAGATGTCTGTGTGATTCTTGCATGTGTTATGTGTTAGTATGCTTACAGGGAAAGGCCCGATGCCGGGCAGGGCCCGATGACTTTACTGTATGCTATTATCTTTGTGATTATTGATTGTGTTTATATGATTATATGATTATATGTTTATATGTATACCTGGCGGGGCCCGATGTCAGGCGGGCCTGATGACTGACAAATTTGTATACCGAGCGAGGCTCGATGCCGGGCGGTGCCCGATACCGGGCGGGGCCCTGTATGAGTTTATTATGTATGGTATGTGGTATTTGGGGAACTCACTAAGCTCCGTGCTTACGATTTTCATTTTATGTTTCAGGTACTTCAGGTTTAAAAGGGAAGAGCCCGAAATGATTGTAGAGCATACACCACATTATTTCGCATTTTGTGACTTACTCTGATATTTTATGATGTATTGATACACTTTGTTCCACCTTGGTTTCATGATGATGTTTTGGAATACAATTTTATTATTTTAAAAAAGAAAAATTTTGGTCTTATTTTTGGGACGTTACATATTATTATTGTTGATGATCATGATGGTATAGAATCTTGAAACATGGTTTGGCTTATCGATTTGCTGTGAAAGAATTGGGCTTACTGTGTTATTTCTTGGGGACTGAAGTTGATCAATCTCCAAAGGGTTATTTTTTTTTATCTTAAACAAAATATATATCAGATTTATTTAAGCGCACGTGGCTCTCAGATAACCGGATAACTGATACACCTCTAGAAAAAGCAATGCCAAGTATTCTCTAACTAACGCTATCCTCCTAATAGACCAGAGCTGTTATCGTACCTTTTTCGGATTTTGGTTTATCTTACTGTCACTAGACCAGATATTACTCATAAAGTTCATGTGGTTAGCAAGTTTGTCACAGCTCCTTCTATTGTTCATTGGAGAGTTGTTCTTTATATTTTAAGATAGCTTCGTGGTACTCAGATTTGAAGCCATGGGTTTCCCTCCACGTCATCTCTTGAACTACATGATTATAGTGATGCTAATTGGGATAATGATGTTTTTGAACACAAATCCACTGCTAGGTATTATATTTTTCTTGGAGATTCGTTGATTTTGTGGAAGAGTAAGAAACTAGATGTTGTCTCTCGATCACCTAACAAATCTGAGTATTGAGCTATGGTTGCTGCCACTTGTGAGATTGTTTGGTTAACATGGCTTCTTGCAGATATAGGTCTTCACATTTCTCAACCCATCCCCTTTGTACTCTGACAATGAGAGTGAAATAATAATTGCCAAGAATTATGTGTTTCATGAGTGGACAAAACATATTGAGATTGATTGCATTTCACTGTCAGCACCTTCAACACCGGACTATTTCTTTACCTCATGTTTTATCCACCTTGTAGATTGTTGATATGTTTACGAAGACCTTTTCTACTCCAAGATTTTATTTTTTGTCTAGCAAACTCTCAATGTTTATTGTGGTCGCACTATGAGTTTGAAGGGGGATGTTAGCCCAATAAATCTATTAAGCCCATTTTTGGTTTGACCCCTTTTAGCTTCGCCATTTAGTTAGATTTAACCTAATTACCTTTTATATATATATATATATATATATATATATATATATATATATATATATATATATTCCTTTCATTTCATTGTAATTAACTCTTTTATCATTCAATAATAAAACTCTATCAATATTTTATCTATTAATGTACAAATATTATATACATTCTACATTTTTCTTCTAAAAATGATTTAGTTTACTTGCATTTGTTTCAATTTCTTTGTGTTTAATTAAGTATCAAGAAAATATTGTTTTTAGTTGATGGTTAGGTATAAGAGACTCTTTTTATAAATTTTCTTAGGCCAGGAGAGTCATGTCATTTTAATTTTCGGTAGCATTGTCACTGTGATGTCAATGATGTCAATGATGTCAATACTGCCAATGTTATACTAAGACCAATAGCGACGACAAAAATCACAGCTATACATATCCGGAGTCGTCGTAAATACTTTTAGCGGTGATATATCGCCGCTACTGTCATGTCGTTAATACTTTATAATCGCCGCTAATACAGTTAGTTTATCGGCGATATATATGGCCGCTATCGATACGCCGATATTGCCTTTCACCTAGCTATTTCTATCGCGGATAATATCTCGGTTATGATTGTTGCTTTCCTCTCTAGTTATTTTGCCTCTCAATCAAACAAATGAAAAATAAAGCTTTCAAAGGTATTTTTACTTTAATAGTTAGCAGCGACATTGGAAATTACTCAAGGCAAAACTTCCCACCACCTCTTACTTGACCTTTAGCGACGACATCTAGAAAACGTGGTCGAATCCTAGCCACTGGAACGCTCTAACCTATCAACGTTCCGGATTTACCGAGTGCAAAGCACATAGATCAAGACCCTTAGCTTTAGCGGCGATATGAGTATTGATGCAAAGCGTGTTTGCTTTGTATTGCCGCTAATACCCTTGTTGTCGCTAATAGTGTCGCCGCACAGCCAAAATTTTTGTAGTGTGTGATGACATTAATTAAAATGACATTTTTAAAAAAATTGCATCAAAAGCCGCATGGAAAGAATTCTCTCTCTCTCTCTCTCTCTCTCTCTCTCTCTCTCTCTCTCTCTCTCTCTCTCTGTGTGTGTGTAGTGCATTGCGATACGTCCTCTCTCTCATTGGCAACGGTGTTTGTTGAGCATGCTACGGTTGTCCAGCCCACTCCCCTAAGCCTATATATGAGCATGTAAAAATGACAAAATCTGCATTAATTTATATAAAATTATAATTGTATTTTATAATATTTTTTTTTTTTTTTTTTATAATTGTATTTTCTAAATAATTACTATTTATTTACTTATATGAAGTTTGGTTGTGTTTATACATGAAAACTATACTTATGATTTTTAACTGTAAACCAATATTTGTCAAGAAACAGTCATAATTAATGACAACTATCCATTTGTTATAACCTTTTCCAGATGATTTTTATAAATGGCGCAACCTTCTTTATAAATGACTGGATGTGATTTCTCGAAATAATATAGAGGTTCTGAATAGCGATAAATGCAGGAAGAGGCTGATAAGTGACAAGTGCGATTGTTCCTATAGAATATTTTTAATTACTAGAAATGCTTAAGATTTTAAAAATTAAACTATAAATTAAAAATATGTCGGCCACAAAAAAATTAAAATCAACTTGACAGATTTTCTAACATCGTTCTAAATTCAAACTCAATTGACAAACTGAAAACTTTATGCTGTACTTTAATAACTATTTTTTTTAAAGAAAAAAAGTCTTTGTATATGCTACAGAATTCACGATACCAATAATACAACGGCAATTAATGGACATAACTCACATAAGCAAAATGATTAAAAACATAAATACCCTTTTGGTCGTTTTTTGCAATCATTAATACCTTAATATATGATTCCTCTTATCACATACTAACAAACATAGGATAATTAAAATGTTCACGTGTGGTTTTGGTAAGATCTAGGGAAACATTTTGTTCCAAAATTGTGGTAGTTTATGGAAGGTGTATCTGCAGAATTCCAAAACAATGTACATTTAGAAGACTAAAAGAGAAATGTACAACTACAGAAGCCCATAACTAGCAACTGACACTTGTACTTTTGCATTCTGGATATGGTTATAGCACAAGCAATAACAGCACCTGTGCACCACCACCATTGAAACCTCTTCTTGAACTTCATCAAAAATGGCATCTTATTATGGCCTCATTTCCAATATCAAATGTTCTTTTGATTTTGGTTTCTTTTTTTTCTAAGATTTTTGGATCTGGGGGGGTTAAGAGTTTGAGATGTTGGTAATTACGATGTAATGATCATCACATAATGATTGGAATTTAGTAAAATAACAACTATATGTACTTTATTAAATAGAAAAAAAGGAATTGATATTATAGATGTAAATCCAAACTAACTTGATCTTGAACACTAGGCTTCTGTTCATACGGATATCGGATCTGAGAATTACTCCCAGTTCCAATTCTTGACACCTTCAAGCTGTCAGAAAATGTCGAGCTTCTAGCCGTCGGATATCTCCACACGGTCAACGGACTGCCATTGATGGGTGTTTGATGAGAGCTTGAAGTTGTAATCCCTCCGTAAAACCTGTTACTGTTGTTGGTAATGCTAGTAGCACTGTAAAGATTACTGGCAGTATTTGGGCGCCAGGAAAGTGGTTGTTGTTGGTGGTAGTAGGGTGGTACGTGGGTGGGTGCGGCGGTGAGACGGTGGTAATTCATAAGACCGTACATTTGTGCCTCCGTGAAGCTTCCATGGAACATGGTGGACTGAAGGTGAGCTCGTTTGGCGTGTTGTCGTTCTCTTTTATGTGCGTTTTGATGGCCTCCTAAAGCTTGAGAGGTTGGGAAGTTTCTGCAACAGTAGTGGCACTCGAATTTCCGGTTACTTTCTCCGGTTTCTTTAGATTCCTCCTGGACGACGGCGGCGGTGTCGTTTGAATCTGACTCGTCGTTGATGATGACGATGGATGAGTCGGCAGAAGCACCGGCGCCACCACCAAATTCTTTCCCAAAGAGCCTAATGCTTTTTTCTCCGAGCAGTGAGGGGCGGATGAAGGGAAGCTGAGAGAAAGACTCCACGTTCATGAAATCGTGAGTCTCTTTGTCAGCTTTTTCCATAATCGTGGTGGATGAAGAGAGGAGGACGGCGGCGATGTGGTGGTGTAGGAGAACTGTCGGGAGGATGGAGAAAAGCAGGGTTGTAACTTATATGTGTGATGAAGGGTTACTATAAAGGATAAAAGGAGCAGGATTAAAGAACATCTACCAGACAAAAAATACAAAAGTGTATTATACCTATAAATTATTTAAATATAAGTTACAGTACTAGTAAAGGGAAAATGACTTAAAAGCCCAACGAAATTTCCAAACCATTCAAAAAACCTCAATCATGTTTTGTTTGTTCAAAAAAAACCCAACGAACTTAACATTTTGTCTAAAAAGTCCAACAAAGTTCCAAACCGTTCAAAAAATCTCAATTTTGTTTTGTTTAAGTTCGTTGGGTTTTTTTGAACAGTCAAAACATGATTGGAGTTTTTTAAACGTTTTGGAAACTTCGTTGGTCTAACAAGTCATTTTGCCGATACGGTGATAAACCACGTCATCTGTTTCTCTTATTTGACTTTCAGGAAAATGTAACTTAGTTGGGCTTATTAGATAAAATGTTAAAGTTTGTTGGGTTTTTCTGAACAGACAAAACATGATTGAGGTTTTTTGAACGCTTTAAAAACTTCGTTGGGCTCATAAGTCATTTTCCCTACTAGTAAATTATATAAAGGAACAATCACAAAGTGATGAACATGATATAGTCCATTTAACATTGACCATATTTTAAATTTATAAAAAAAGGAAAATCATAGTGCAATATATTAAGGGAAATTGAGTAATTTAAATATATTTTTGTATATTTTAAAAGGTAATACCTATTTGCTTTTCTTTTTGTTTTTTTTGTTTTGTTTTGTTTTTTTTTTTTTTTTTTTTTTTTTGCAAACTAACGACTCTCTTCAGAATGTGTATGTTGGAGAGACGTAAACATGCAAAGCTACTATAGCTCAATGTTATATATATATATATATATATATATATATATATATATATATATATATATATATATATATATATAGGGTTAGGTTATTTTGTTTCTTACATTTATTGTGTGCTATAATTCACCAATAAGAATTTAGTAAATTAAATAATTATTTAATTAAATAAATATAGATATTAAATGATTTCCATAATTATATGTATATTAAATGATATTTATAATTATAATTCTCTTTTTATGGAAACTAATTAAATCCGTCATTAATGTCAGCAATAACATTTTTTCAGAATTAATTCGCATCTGGGTTTTTATATATGAGTTCGTATTTTATTTCAGGACTCACTTACTTAAAATACAATAAAGTTGCATGGAATATGAAGAACGAAAGTGTATTCTACTAGAATACACTCTCATTTTGTTGGAATACACTCTCATTCTTATAGATATGAATTTATTCTGAAAGAATATTATTGTTGACATTAATGACGAATTTAATTGGTTTCCATAAAAATGAGTTATTAGTATGGATAACTTTTAATATACATATAATTAATACTAAAATCTTATTGGTGTATTCTAGCACACAATAGATGTGATAAACATTTGAACCTACCTCTCTCTCTTTCTATATATTATATATATATCTATATATATATATATAATATATATATATATATATATATATATATATATATATATATATATATATATATATATATAGCATTAGGTATAAAATTATCAAAATTGATTTTATTTTGATTGAAAAACAACTTTTTTTTCATTGTTAGCTTCTTCATGTTGTCTTTAAACTTAAAATATTTTTTATTTCGTGATTCAACCACAACATCAATGTACTTCGAATGTGTTTTTTTTATTAGACCTCTAATAGACTTTATAACTTCCTCCAACATTTACCTTATGCCTACTTGCATTGTTTTTATTTGATGAGTTATGGAAAAAGGTTTATTGTGTTTTTTAATTTACAGTTTCAATCTTTCACTATAATTTTCTATATTGAAAATTTTTATATGTAGACCTACAGCTAGTTGTTAAATTATTTTTATAAATGGATTGTGGTGCAAAATCAAATTTATAAACTCCATAAAAAATATAGAAATTCTACATAAACTCTAATAGAGGATTTTAGACATATGGTAGAGAAATTTGATTGCATTTTATTAATACTATGTAGCTTTTTACAGTTCTATACTTAATATTAGGCACATAACAGTCACATATTCTCCATGCCATATATATATATATATATATATATATATATATAATATATATATATATATATAGATATATATGATTATATATATATATATATATATATATATATATATATACAGAGAGAGGGGAGAGAGAGAGAGAGAGAGAGAGAGAGGAATGATCATTATAAAACTAATATAAACTCATAGAACCACATAACCATATTTATAACTTTATGATCATTTTGAAAATACTTTAGATTAAAAGGGTGCACGATAAAATTGTGCACCCTCACATATTAAATCAAACATGTATAAGGGTATAATGGGAAATTCACATCTATTTCCATCTTGAATCCTAATAAACCTTGTAAACGTACACATTGTATTATTCAATACAAAATACCTTTATCCTTAATCTCTTACTTATGTCTCTTCTTAAAACCCTAACCCACCGGCCGATCAACACCAATTCCATCATTAATCCTTCACTAATGACCTTTGTCTATACTTCACGAAGCTTGTTCACTACTGGGATCATGGTGGAGCTGAGTAGTGGTTGTTTGGGTGAACAAAGGATAAATTTTCGACCAATCCAAAGAGGTCTAGCGTCGTCACCTACATTAACGTATCCGACAGTGAAGGCCACTCCATGTGCTACAACGCTTGTGGCATCTTCAAAAAATCGAAATAAACAAGTCATCCTCTTCGTTTTTCTTGGAATTGAAGGCACCATTTTTTCGCATCAATATTAGAGGGTGAGTTAAGATCGATTGTTAGAAGAAGAAAAGACAAGGGGACATTTATTTACGATCGATTTTTGCTTCTGAGGTTATGTCTACTCACGTAATCGACCTAAATATGAAGGAATTTGTGGCGACTGGTGGTTTTGTTTTATGTTGGTGCAAAATAGAAATTGACTCGACAATTTAAAATCGTTCTTGATACAAAGATGAGGAAACATGGTTGGGAACATTCGTATCATCCTCTTAAGGTTAGTTTGATCTTGTCCATATGCCATTGTTGAAGTTTTTTTTTCATTTTTATGGTTAATGAAAATTTTGGATTTTGGTGCTTGATTTCCCAATAATGTTTTACATCTCCTATGTACACGCCATTGTTTTAGGGTTTATGAAGATGTATTTATATGTGTTTTGTTTTTGTTAGATCGTAAGACTTTTAAGAATGAAACCATATCAAGACTTAATCAAGAATGAACACACGAATGTAAATAAGATTTGACTTTTGATTTAGAGAGTAAAAGGAATACAATTACAGTTATACAATACTTCTTTTCAAAAGATTCTCTCTACTACTAACTAACTGTCATTATATATGACACATAAGGAAGTTAGTTATGCTTCTAACTAATAAGGTTAGGACACCTAGGCATAACACATCTATCAAAATAAACTAACATAAGTTGCGAACATAAGTACAAAAAATACAAAAACAAACATGTTGTTTGCAGTTACAAGTAAAACTATTACATCAAACACCAAACACTATTTCGCATACAAACTCAAAAACAATTTTAAAATACGAACCCCAACAATCTCCCCATTTGTATTAAGTTGCAAAATAGATATTCACTTTAATTTTTCAAAATTTTTCAAGAATAATTCCAATCACAATAATGTGAACCCTTATCCACCAACGAATAAATTCAGAGACCCACTTGGTATATTCAATGGAGTTTGAATTGCACATCTATGTTCTAATAAGGATCCCATTGAGTCTTTCTGAACTAAAGAAATGTTTATCATAAATATAAAACATCTTGTTCTGAACATCTTTGTCTTCAAGCACTTTGTAAACAATTCCTAATGATTCTTTCTGAATGAATCCTTCACGTATTCCACTAAGATCAGATGGTTGTATATACGGTTTTACACTTGTATTCTTCTTCATAACTCTGGCCACTTAAACATCCATTTTACATAACTCCGTGCGATAAGATTTGATCATTCTATTTAAGTGTTGGAGTTGTAAACAAAATTTAGATTCACGCTTCTTTAACATTCCATACATAACAAAAAAATCATGTGGATTCATGGAAGGTAAATTAGTAAAAGTAATAATTGTTTGTTAGCACCCCTTAGAATTGTGATTTTGTAGTTGGTCAATTCACATAGATGAATTTCTTCTATATTCTTCACACTAATTATTCTCTTTAGAGACTAAACATTGTATTGTGGTTGCGAATGATCCAAATAGAGCTTGACTAACTTCTTATTCGCATTTCTATTTGACAAAGCAACTCTAACAATATTCTGAAAACATTTAAAAAGAAAAGCTCGTGATGTCATTGGAAATCCAACTAACAGTCAATAGTGTTTTCAATCACAAATGAAGAATGTGGTTGAAGCCAAAAAATTTAACTTTCTCAATGGCTTCTTTTTGAATTCTTTCCGTAGTCCATTCAGGCCAAATAAGTTTTAATGATGTTTTTGTAGCTTTACGTTCTTTTTTTCTCTGCATCCTGCATATCCAGCTAAATCTAAAGTTGTTTGATTTTCTCAATCTCTTCATCTTTCTTTATACGAGCTTCTTTCTCTGCTTCTTCATTACTAGGATCAACTTCATTTGGTGTAAGAATTCTCACATTGTTTTGCAGCATCCCCAAAAAAATTTAAGCATTAGGAACCATATCGTCTATTCTCCTCTTCAATGACCGATTGCTAATAGTAATCTTCGAAGCATCAATCCTTTTAGACATATTAGGAATAACATATTTACTTTTGAGCTTAAGTTGAGAAGGTTCTTCTTGAACAATATTTTCCACATCCTCTCCCCTTGTTGCGAAGTAGCTCTGCTACTCGGAACACCGGAAGAAGGTAAAAAATGGGAAAGAATAGGAGCAA